AGTTAGTGCCAGCCCTGGGCAGTTAGTGCCCTCCCTAGGTAGTTAGTGCCCGCCCTGGGCAATTGGTTCCAGCCCTGGGCAGTCAGTGCCCTCCCTGGGCAGTTTTAGTGCCCGCCCTGGGCAGTCAGTGCCCTCCCTGGGCAGTTAGTGCCCGCCCTGGGCAGTCAGTGCCCTCCCTGGGCAGTTTTAGTGCCAGCCCTGGGCAGTTAGTGCCCTCCCTGGGCAGTTAGTGCCCTCTCTGGGCAGTTAGTGCCAGCCCTGGGCAGTTAGTGCCAGCCCTGGGCAGTTAGTGCCAGCCCTGGGCAGTTATTGCCAGCCCTGGGCATATGCCTCTTTTGCAGCCAGTGTATCCTTCTCCAATCCTCGGACTCTGGCCACAGCTAGTGTGTCCGTAGCCCCAGAACCTCTTGCCTAGCAAGTACCTACTTCCTCCTGTAATCAGGTAGTCCCTTCCCCCTTACAAGCCAGGAATTCCTTTTTCATCCTAGGCCAATTATCCCCTGTCCTAAGCAGGCATCCTGCAGCCCCCCCCATAGCCCTTAGCCTGCTCATGCTTGTCCCTAGCCTCATTTACTCAGCCCTTCTTTAGTGAATTCGTCTTCATCCCTTTATGCCTTTTTCCATAGCCAAGCTCCTTTCCTAAGCCCATTCTCAACCTGGCCCCCCTTTCTGCTGGGCATAGGTACCCCTTCAGTTACCAGGCCACATTCCTCAGCCCTTGTGTGGCAACCCAACTAAAGCCCTGTAACACATTTATTACTCTTCCCTGGCCTGTGTTCCAGGGACAGGTAGGCCCTGTAGCAGGCTTTCTTAATTTAGCAGACTTTCTTGGACTGCCAGCCCCTAATCATGAAACAGAGACTTATTATTAATTATGAATGCTCAGCCTTAGTTTAGACTTGTCCCACTAGCTCTTATAACTTATATTAATCTGTTTCTCTCCATCTATATTTTGCCTCAGGGCTTTTTAACCTTTCATTCTGTATGTCCTTTCCTGCTTCCTCCATGTCGGCCTGGCCCCAGGCATCTCCCTCTCTTTCTCCCTTGTTCTCTGTTTTTTCTCGAGCCTGGATCCCTCTTCCTTCTCATTCTCTGTGCCCGCCAGCCCTGCCTATCCCTCCACTGCCTGGCTATTGGCCGTTCAGCTTTTTTATTAGACCAATCAGGTGTCTTAGGCAGGCAAGGTGAAACAGCAACACATCTTTACATCACTAAACAAATGCAGCATAAACAAATGTAACATACCTTTACATAGTTGAAATAATAGTCCACAACAAAGGTAACCTTCTCCAGTTTGAACTAGCATCTCTAGCTTGCTCCACTTCAAACACAGAGGACTTGATCCCAGCCAGAATCCTTTCATCTGCCAGGGACTCTTAAGCTGTATGTGCTGGATAGTTTTATGTCAACTTGACACAAGCTATAGTCTTGAGAGGAGGGAACCTTGATTGAGAAAACGCCTCCATGAGATCAGGCTGTATCCACTAGAACACAGCCCATAGAATCAACTAACCAGAGCTCATAGGGCCTCACAGAGACTAAAGTGACAATCAGGGAGCCTGTATGTGTCCGACCTAGGTTCTCCGCATATATCTTACGATTGTGAAGGTTGATGTTCTTGTGGGTCTCCTAACAGTGAGTGAGTGTGTGTGTGTGTGTGTGGGGGGGGTATCTCTGACCCTTTTCCTCCTACTGCGTTGCCTCATCCAGCCTTGATATGAGGGTTTGTGCCTAGTCTTACTGTAATTTGTTATGCCATGTTCGGTTGATATCCCTGGGAGACTGCTGGGTTTTTTTTTTTTTTTTTTTGAACGGAAACAAGAAGAGTGGATTTGAGGGGGAGGGAAGGTGGAAGGATGGAGAAATGGGGGAAACTGTAGTCAGGATATAATGTATGAGAGAAGAATAAAAAAATCAGGCTGTAGAACATTTTCTTAATTAGTGATTGATGGGGGAAAGTCCGGCCCACTGTGGGTGGTGCCATCCCTGGGCTAGTTAGTGGTTCTAGGTTCTTTCTGTTTGTTTGTTTTTCGAGACAGGGTTTCTCCATCTCGAAATAGGCAGGCCATTTACCTGCTAGGAAGGACCCTTTCTGCAGGCGTTTCCTTCCTTAACAGTCAGGCTCACCTTCCTGGTCCTTGAGCTCCTAATTCAGTTAGGCATCCTTTCATTGTTCAGCCTTTCACTAAACCAGTCCTTTACCCCACCTTATGATCCTTTACCCAGCTCAGGCCTCCCCTCCCTACCCTGCCCAGAGCTCTGTCCCTCGGCTTCCCTACCCAGCTGGGTCTCCTTCCCGAGGCTACCTCTGCTTCCCTATGGTCCTTGCTCTGCTCCTCCTGTACCCTGGCTCCTCTGCCCACCTGAGCCTGCATCCTTATATATATATACCCCAGACTGAGACAGGCTCTCTTCTCCCTCCATGACCTTTCACAGAACAGCGACTTCTCCAGTCTGGGTCACTTGCCAAACTAGGCCTCCTTTCTAACCAGGCCCAATTTCCCAACAGGGACCTCAGATAGCTTTATCCCATCTTGGGCTATTTTCCTCTCCCCAACACCCTTTCCCCAAAGTTGTGTCCCTGTATCAGCCTGCACCAACCGTTCAAGCCTTGTGGTGCCTTTACCTGTCAGGATCCCTTGATCCAGTCCTCTTCCACGCTGATTGGTTGCTCAGCCACTGCCTCCTTCCCCAGGAAGGTCTCATCTCATTCCAGAACCCCCTCCTCAGAAAGTGTCCTTAGCAGGTGCCCCTGTCCTAACCAGGTTGCCTGTCTTGATCATTTCCCCATTCCAGAGCCATGGACTCTTCATCATCTGCTGTACCCATCCAACCTGGCCTCTTACTTCAGTGAGTCGCTCAGTTACCAGCCCCGTCCTCTGCCCACAGCTGGGCAGCCTTCCCTGTGAAGCCCAGTTTCCTGCCTTGTTATCCAAACAATGCCACCCTTTGCAAGGCCCCCTTCCCCAGATGCAGTGTAGTTTGCTGCCCGTTTCCCTTCCCAAACCTGGTCCCCCTTCCCTACATTCCTCACCCCGGCTGACTCACCTCTTCTACCAAGAATCCTTCACCAGCCAGTGTCTGTGTCTCTGACCTTTAGCCAGGCCTCCTTCTTATCACCGTGTGCTGCCTCGAGTCGGTCAGAGCCACTGTCCATCAATATCCCCTGCCTTAGCCAACTCTACGTAGCCCACCCCATAAAGTCCCTTTTTCATTTCTATAGTCCAATAGCCTTCACTCACATCCTTAGTTAGGCCCCTTCCCTAAACCCCATCCATAGTCTCCTCTAGCCAGGCTTCTTTAAAATACACACACACACACACACACACACAAAAAAAAAAAAAAAAAAAAAAAAAACAAAAAACCAAAAAAACCCACTTTATGGCCTCTTTCTCAACTTGCCCACTTATTCAGCTTGTTGACACCTCCAACTCCAGCCTCTGAAAGTTTTCCCTAGACTGTCTCTGTCCTCAGCCTTCAGCCTCCTTCCCAGCCAGGCCTCCTCCTGTAGATAACATCTCTTTTCCAAGCACATTTTCCCTTCCCCAGCCTATGCCTCCCCTCCAAAGCTTGTCCCCCCTTCCTCCCTAACTCACGATCCCTTCCCCAGTGTTTCTGACCCTATAAAAGGCTCTTTTCTCATAATGTACCCCAATACTGTATTGTTGTCAGAGACTGGCTAGCTGAAACTTTCTGTTTCCATGGTGAGAGCTATCCTCCAGGACTTCCCTATTGGTGTTTTGGAAGCATCCTGAAGTAGACTATAGTAGCATTTCTTCCACTACTACAATGTAGCCTGGTCTGGCTGAGGTCTGGGAAGTCAGGGCTCTTTATCAAACCCAGGAGAGCATATTAAAGGAAGCCCTTTCATATGTTTCACCAAGTGAAACATCTGCCTAGGGCATCCTTAGTGTAAATTCCTCCCGAAATTTTCAGCCTGGGAAACATTTCACTCCAGGCCACCACCAAGACTGCAGGTGTTATTACCCAAAGCCTCATCTGTCCCCTCACCCCCAACCTGCTCCCATTCTTCAGGAGCCCTTTACTGAAGGCCATTTGGGATACAAACTTCATATGGACTAAGTCAGCTACACAAGAAATGCAAACCAGGTATTTCAAAAGCTGCTTTTATTTTTAACACACTGCACAATCGTTTTAAAACATTTTTGAACTTACATATATTATTTGAGAACATTTGGAAGGGACAAAGGTTTTTCAAAATGAATTTAAGTAACTTCACTGAAATACAGGACTTGATCATTAACCTTAAAAATTACTGCAAATCATTCCATTCTTGCTCTTCTTTTGGCACATTCAGGACATCAAGAAATCTTTAACAGAAACAGGTATATTATTCAGTTTTCTTTTACACAAAAACTGCATCAACTACTTTATAACTTCCCCAAATTGCTTTTAAAATATTTTTTTCTCTCTAAAAATTAAGTAAAGTCACTAAGTTCATGTCTTCCACATCTTTGAGGTAACCCTCACTTGGCCTACTGGCTCATTTAAACTGATTTTCTGGATCTAACAGTTACATTTAGCTTTTAAATTTGAAAACTCATTTTTTAAAGCTTAGAAAACATTGAGCAACTAAAATCCATTTGCAACTAAAATCCATTTGCAGTTTCACAAGTTTGAAAGAAAAACAAAACAATCAAATTACTACTGAAGACTTGTTTATAACCCAGGCATTCTAACATTGGTTAAAAGCAAACCAAACTGCCAGCTGTGGCATTCCCCCCCCCCCCCCCGGAAAATACAATGAAAAACACTCATAAATCACTTCAGTCTCACAAACTCCACTTTTATCAAGTGGGTTGATAGATACACAGGGAAAATCTCAGAAACTGAACCTTTCTACTACATTTATTTAAATCCAGGCAAACAATGGCAAAGTCCAAAACTTCCATTTTCAGCCTAATGGTAACGGAAACGCAAACAGGGCAAAGGTACCTAAGGTCCAAGGTAGACCTGAAGAAACGTAAGCCTCTTGGGGTGTCCCAAGGAGGTATTTTTTCTTCTGTGCTTAAGGCCCCACCCCCACCCCCCAAAAGACACAAATAACTGAGTAGTAAAACAAAACAACAAACAAAATAGGGCAGGACTTGGAAAGGGTAGACTTCACGAGTTAAGTCAATCTTGAAAAAAATAAACCAGCCATGGAAAAAGCAACTGCTCCTACCGAGAAACGGAGAAACGCCATAGCTGTTTCAGTTCTCCCAGCATCTGTGGTGTCAAGCGCCGAAGAAACATGGCGTCTAGGGCAGAGGTCTGTGGCTGGTGACTGCTGGAAACTTCTAGAACAGGCGTGGCGCCATACCTCCAGTGGCGCCAGGGCTCTCAATGGGCTTCACTGAATTGTAGTGCTCTCCGAACTCGCAGGCATAGTGCAGATAGACCAGTGTGAGTGGCTTCCGGGTGTACTCCTCCCCAATAACAATGATGGGTGAGTTGGCCTGTACCACCTCGATGGGGGTCTGCAGGACGTGTGACATGGCTCTCAGTTCCAGTTGGCCGCCCCACGATGCCCTGTGCACGATGTCATCGCAGTACCTCAGGAAGTCTTCGCGGGTGTAGAAGTTGCCAGCCTCGGGCTCAGTGAAGAAAGGTAAGAAGTCATCAACGTGTTTCCTCATGTAGTAGGCCGTGCGATAGCGAAGGCTCTCGACCGTCACCGAGTACACCAGCTGGTCCTGGATGGCACGGTACATACAATGGCCATCGGCAGGGATGGTCTTCATCTCCAGGTTTTTGGCCCCCAGAATGGCAGTGACCTTCTCTTCCTCGTCACGGCGGAAGGTGGCCAGCTGTTGGGCCCGGGCCGCAGGCATCCTCTCCTGGTGTTGTCTCTCCATGTGAGCTCTTCGCTCGCGCCTTTTCTGGGCCTTCGATGGGCGTGGAGGCAGATTCTCAAGATTCATCTTGGTGAGGTCGGCTGTAACCGATTCCAAGCTGGGCTCAAGATCTTCAAATTTCTCCAGCTCTTGCTGGTGCCTCTGCTCCATCTCGGCCTCGAGGCGAGCAACGTCGGCAAGCAACCGCCTTCTTCTGTTCTTGTCACTCTTTGGGACAGAACTTTTCAAGGCCTGGATGTGACCTTGCAACTCGCTTCTTTCGCGATAGTGGCGGCGGATCACCCTCTGGAAATCATTCTCAGTGTCATCCATCATCCCAGGGGAAAGTGGGAATTGAAGTTTGGAGGAAACTGGAACAGTTCAAACCACCAGACAGCCTCACAGATCCTCTGCCTGAGGTCGCTGTGGCACTCTGCTTGCCTCAGAGGCTGGTTGCCCCCTCCCTACTCACAGCCCTCTCTCCTATTGGCTACTGCCTCGAGGCCACGCCCCCAGACACGCCTGCCTTTGTGACTGGCCTTCAAGAACCCCTAAGTATGTTCTCATTAGACCCCGTAGCACCTCACGCCTCTGGTTTTTAACGGACTTCAAAAGTCGCTCCTAGGTCTGCCTTTCTACAATGTGTGCCATAATTAGACTTGTAGAATTTTTCAGTCACTCTTACTCCCTACTTCTTTTCCAAGTTTGGACAGAACACAGACACAGGCCATGCTTGATAACCACATGATAAATATTATCAGCTGAATATGTTCTGACCCTGAACTTGGCATTTCTCTTCGTGTCCAAGAGGCAGTGTGGCTTTCTCTAGTTTTTCAGGTCTCTTGACCAGCGAACTCTTAATCTTTGTGTATCAGAACAAAGACATTTCCTTACATTCTTGGGAACACAGAGTCCTTTTAATTTATGTTTCAAAACCGATGAGTTCCATCTCCGTGTAAGACGGCAACAACCACCCTCTTCAGAGGCACACACTACAAAGAAGTACTAACAGAAATCAGCCAAATGCCCCTTCTTCTGGGCCCCCATCTCCCTAAATGGGCTCTCTAAAATATCCAGGAACCATCACAAGCCAGTATTCATCAGGTCACTTCTTCCTGATTGTTTTCAAAAAAGTATATCTCAGAAGATTGCTGCAAAAGTTCGGCGGGGGAAAAAAAACCCTCTTTCAAATATGCTTTTATTGTACGATAATCTGTCTTTGTCCTTAGAGTTCCCAAACTGGCCTTTTAGATACTGCCCCATTCCCTACTTGAAAACCAGATTTGCTAACACAAGCCTGTAAACCTAGTACTTGTGAGGTAGAGGCAGGAGAATTGAAACTTTCAAGGTCATCCTGGGAGATGTAGTAAGTTCCAGGCCAGCCTGGGGTATGTTGAGACCCTATCTCAGAAAAACCAAAACCAACCATACAGGACAAACACTACAACAGAAGTATATTCTCCACCCTATATATTTTGTGTGAATGTAAGTCCTCATTTCTCTGGACAGCATGCCCAGGAATGAAATTACTGTGACATATTCTAAGTGTGTATTACTTTTAAAGAAACTGTTTTCCAGAAAGGCTGGAGCTGGTCCATTTCCACTAGAAGTGAATGAATGATCCACTTTCTTTGCATTCTTACCAGCTTTTGGGTGTTGTCACTTTTAAAAAGCGTACACTACTGTAAATGTCATGATAATCTCATTACAGCTTTAATATCCGCATGTCTACTGTTTTTTTGTTTTGTTTTGTTTTGTTTTTTTAGTACCGTAGATGTAGCCCTAGAGCCTTGCATATAATAGGGAAGTGCTGTACCTTGATGGTCATCTTTTAAATTTTTTATTTGTTGTTAGTGTTGCTGCTGCTGCTGCTGGTGGTGGTGGTGGTGGTGGTGGTGGTGTGTGTGGTGGGGATATCTGTGCATGGGCCTGCATATGCCATTGTGAATGTGTAGAAGTCAGAGACAGTTCTGTGGAGTTGTTTTTCCCTTTTGCTGTGGATTCTGGGGATTGGATTCAGGTCATGTCAGGCTTATGAGGCAAGCATTTTTATACAAAGACAAAATTAAAAAAAAAATTTCTATTTATTTAGTGTGTGTGTACTTGAACACATGTCATTGTGCACACATGGTAGTCAGAAGATAACTTGTGGGAGTCAATTCTCTCCTTCTACCATGTAGGTCCAGGTTATCAGAACTGCTTCAGGCTCCTTTACCCACTGAGACAGTTTGATAGTCCCCTCATTCATTCTCTCTCTCTCTCTCTCTCTCTCTCTCTCTCTCTCTCTCTCTCTCTCTCTCTCTCATTTATTTATATATTCCTCTCATAAACTATATCCTGACCACCTCTCCCCCAGATACATTGCTCCTCCTTTTCCCTTCAGAAAAGGGCAGGCAGGGATATCAACCAAACACAGAATATCAGGTTTCAATTAGCCTAGGCACTTCCCCTCATATTAAGGCTGGACAAGGCAACCCAGTAGGAGGAAAAGGATCCCAAAAGCAGGCAAAAGAGTCAGAGACAGCCCATCCTCCCACTATTAGGAGTCCCACAAGAACACCAAGCTACACACACACACACACACACACACACACACACTCGCACAGAGGCAATGAAAACAAAAAATAAAAAAGTGGGGATTACATACAATAAAATATTGTGTGTGTGTGTGTGTGTGTGTGTGTGTGTGTGTGTGTGTGTGTGATAACCAAGAAATCACCACAGCCGGTGGTGGTGGCGCACGCCGGTAGGATTTGCTGAAGGAGGCGGAGGCAGGAGGGTCACCAGTTTGAGGCCAGCCTGGGCTACACATAAAAAAAAAAGAAATCACCACAAAGGACAATGTCATGAAAGTTTTTATATATTTTTTAGGAGTTTTACAGTTTAAGGTTTTATATTAAATCTTTACTCTGCCTTGAGTTGCTATTTGTTTTTAGGATAATATGATGGATAAATTACTTTGTTTTGCATGCAGATATTCAGTACCCCCGAGTTTGTTTAGTATCACATCTTTCCCATATTGTGTACTTTTGGTATGCTTGTAGAGTATCAGTTGGCCCTATATGTGGAAGTTTATTCCTCACCTTTATAACAGTAACAAAATCATAAAGTCATTTTACAGAATGTGAAAAGTATTGTAAAGTATATGTGTGTTGAAAACACATTATTAGTTTCTGGGTGAAGGCTACAGGTTTAGCTGAAAGATAAGGTACCTTGTTTAAAATTCACAAGGCCTTCGGTTTGGTCCTCAACACTGTGCACAAACACATGCACACATATACAGAGATACACTCACATGTGTGTACATATATATATTTCATATTTATTTTTTCTATAACACATTGACAACAAAAATCGTGACTTTATTTTAGTGTGCAAAGGGTCCAAAGAGACTTTTTTCCCAAAGAAAGGATGCAAATAACAAAAGGTCCATGTAAAGTGCCTAATATTACTAGTTGTGGAGGAAACACGAATTAAAATCCCACTGTAGTACCATAGCACACCCACTAAGATGTTTATTATCAATTAGAGAAACAATAGTAATATGGAAGATATCAAGAAAACAGAGCTCATACAAATCATTGGTAAGAATGCAAATTAGTGCAGCCAGTACAGGGAACAGACGAAGTTTCTTCAGTGGTAAAAAAAAAATACGGCTGCAGTAGCTCAACCATATTGTTGGAGCACATGTATAGATAGTGTTTGAACAGGTACATGTACACCTCCCTGCGGTTTCACCACCAGCACTCTGCAAAAACACTCTGAGATAGGTAAATTTGTCTTTTTATTTAACTGAGAGATTTACAGCTTCAGGTTTAAAGTTAGATTAATGATTTTGAGGTGGGGGGAAGTGTTTCAAGACAGTCCTGGCTGTCCTAGAACTTGGTTTGTAGACCAGGCAGGTCTCGAAGTCACAGAAATCTGCCTGCCTCTGCCTCCTTCCCAAGTGCTGGGATGTGTTTTGACTTTGTTTTTGTACTTTGGTTTTGAAAACTTAGACCTTACATTTTTGTGTTGGTTTGATTTTGGGGTTTTGCCAAGGCCTCCAAGTCATTTGTTGAAAAATATTTAAAAAATATTCAAAAATCAATTGGGCATATTTTTTAACTTTTATTGATTCTTTGTGAATTTCACACCATCCATTCCAATCCCCCTTATCTCCCTTGCATCTGCCCTTGCAACCCCCACCTCCAAATCAAAACCAAATTTAAAAGAAAAACCTAAAGCCAAACAAAACAGAGACAAAACAAAACAAAAAAGGAGAGGAATCTTTTGTGGAAGGTGCAGTATGTCCCGTTGAGCCTCACAGTTTACCCTCTAGTCCATTCATCTTCACTTGCAAGTGTTCGTTGCCACAAGTCATTGGACTGGCTCGAAGCCTCTGGCTTCTGCTTCACTACCAATAATGGGCTCTCACTGGGGCTCCTCTTGGATATCCTGTTGTTGTCCTGTGTCATGGAGATCCTGCTGTTTTGGATCTGTAGGTCTATCCCCTTCACCTGTTCCAACAATTCATAGATGAGGTGGATGTTGGGGTGAGCTAACTCATAGCCCTGGTTCTGGCCCTGGGTGGTAGCTGGGTTGGTCAGCCTGCAGTCTTTCCCTCATCATTACTACTATGATGAGCACTCCAGCCCTGCTCCAGCTAGCTTACCCAATGTAGCCTGCAGCAAAGAGCTGGGCCAGTTCTCCTGCTCTAGGTCCTCAGATGCTGGTCAGTCATCTGTTAGAATTCTGCCCTCACTCCAGCTACATGACTGCACATGCACAGTTCAAGGTCTTGCGTCTTATGTCATCAGTGGGCACTGGCAAATATGTATGCATGGTGTGGTCACACAATCTGCACCTTAAAAGCCAGATGCA